GGGTTTGGGCTTTAGGGCTTCAGGGTTTGCATTTGGATTAGCGTGCAGGGTTTGATTTCGTTTTGGAAAGGGTGGGTCGGCGTGTAGTGTAGAGGCCTTCATAAAAAGGAATGGGTTTGGGGGCTTCTGTATCATATACTTATGAGGAGCTCCCCAAGGAAAAATAGTGTCAATTATCTAGGCCTCTATATTATAAACCCTAAACCCTAAACCCGGAATTCAGACCTGTCATCCGGAGAAAGAGTCACTGCACTTTAACAAACAAAACCGGAATTCAGTAAGTAGGACCCTAAACCCAAAGCCCCCTAAACCCGGAATTCAGTAACTAGGATTCTTTGAGAGGGACGCCGAGGATGCAGGGCTCAGGTGTCGCTTCACGAGTTGCGGGGCATTCACTTGGTGTTCTTCTGGTTGGCTCTTAGGACTTTAACTTTTTGGGTTTCTATATAACTATAATAAGGAGACTAAAAGTTTAACTTTTTGGAGGGGTTCAGGAGTCAGCCAAGTTCAAGTGTACTTAAAGCGGTGTCTGCACGGTTCTCAAGGTTTGGATACAAGGACTCTGCTCAAGGCTTTATGGGGATATCGCGGGGGGTCTATGGAGTTTCATGGGCATTCGGGTTTTCCAGGCCTTTTAGGATTACTATGGTTGCTCTATTTTGACCATTATGACCACTATGACAGTTATGACTTTCATTATGACACGTCAGGGATTCAGGTTCCCAGCCCATCGGCCCCAGGACGCTTCGGCCTCAGTCGAAGAAGACAAGATCAACATCTTAAAGTCCATAGATCCGGATGCCATCGACTACAACGATTCCGCCAAGGTGGGTCCTGGGATTTGGTCAAAGTTACCAGAGTGAGGATGATACTACGCTAATAACCCCCAAAACCCTAGTCTAATTATTGAGGCCCCATACAGTATATAGATCATGCTTCTGGTAACAAGCTCCGTTCCTTCGATACGGTTCAGCATCTGGTCGCGTGTTTCGAAGGCGCTGGCGATATCCAGATGCCATGGCTCTACAGGGTAGAGTAATATATGGGCCGAAATACATACAATCCTATTTTTGGTGTTCCTGAGTAGTATTATTCTATGTAGTACAAAACACGCCCAAATCCCTATTCTAATTAGTCAGGCCCCTTTATGCCCGTACACCCTAGGAACCTCATCCCGGGCAATACCTTCAACTACGATAACCTACTTTCATGTGGGTTCTTATTCTAAGCCTTAAAATAGAATCTAGCCTAAACCCTAAACCCTAAACCCGGACCCTACAAGAAAGCAGGCTTTGGTCGCCCAAGGTATGGCTTTTATCCGGGACATCATCGCAGCTAATCGCCGCAGATACAGTTATAGGGAACAGTGGTAGTAGCATAGGGTTTTGGGTTTTGGGTTTAGGGTAGTAGCAACAGTCTTCCGTAATAGTAGAACACAGAACCAGTGCTCTCTCCGTACGAAATGAGCCCGTCTGGTCCAGGTGGGTGCCCTCAACACCAAAGTCCGGCAGCGAATTCAGCAGTGGCTGGTGAACACGGCCGTCCAATGGCTGGAGGAAGCTGCGCCTAAACCCTAAACCCTAAACCCTAACCCCATGCCCTAAACCGAAAACCCCTTTGAGAGCTATGACCAGGCCTTGGGGTTAGGTTTCATGTTTCATATACCTCCGGCCTCGCAAACTCGCACACGCAGCGGAAGCCCTAGAGCCAACAAAACCCGCAAGCCGAAGTCTTACCTTCAAGGAATCCCCAAGGAGTAATCCTATAAGCGGGCTGTAAAGGAGCCCCTAAAGGAGCCTCTAAAGGAACCCCTAAGAACCTTAACATAGATAGGAAAGCACAGGGATTTGGACGGTGTATGTTCCGATGACGGTAACCTTCACAAGAGCACCATTGAGCCCAGTCAGACTTGTAGACAGGTCTGAAAGGCCCTTGTAAACCCTTCGAAGACAAGGTTCCGGTATAGTGTGGTATCGTAAAATATATGAAAGCACTGTCAAGTATAGTCTAGCATAGCAAAACAATAAAGCAAAATATAGTTTAATACAGTATATTGTAGTGTAGGTAGCCTAGTCCAGTCGAGCATAAAACAAGGTATAGATGATACTAAGATCCCCAACAACCCAGAGAACCCAATACAGCTGAATTGAGGAGTACACCTTAAATCACAATATTAAGGCCCCTAGACTTTAAGGTATATTCCTTATTTACGGGGTATTGGGTTCTCTGGGAAGAATCCAATAGGCCATCTGGAGGATCGAACCCGGGAAGCCCCGGCAGAAGTGAAGCATTCGGTCTTCAACTCCGTCGGAAGCTTGCGACTGGGAGTGAAGTGGGGCTCAGGGTTCAGGGTTTCGGGTTCGGGGTTTAGGGTTTCGGGTTCGGGGTTCAGGGTTTCGGGCTCAGGGTTCAGGGTTTCGGGTTCGGGGTTTAGGGTTTCGGGTTCGGGGTTTAGGGTTTAGGGTTCGGGGTTTCGGATTTGGGGTTTAGGGCTTATCTTCACGGCTTTGGTAAATGGCTTGGGGATGTTGATGACCTTTTTACAAAGTTTCAAGCAACTGCTTTGTAGGCAAGCAACTTCATAGCCACTATACTTGGAGGTACAGCGAATGTATAGCACAATTCCAGTTGAGCTTAGACGCCAGTTAGTTCCTTCGGGGAGGTGAAATTGGGCTATGGGTACCCTAAACCCTAAACCCTAAACCGAAACCCTAAACCCTAAACCCCAAACCCTGAACCCCAAACCCTAAACCCTAAACCCCAAACCCTAAACCCCAAGCCCTACACCCTAAACCCTACCCAAA